TTTTTTTTTCTCCTCATTTGATTGATTTTATTTTAAAATTAACATATGGTAAAATCACTTCTTTTGGTGAACAAGTATAGATTTGTATAAACAGCAGCATAATCAGGACACAGAAGAATCGTAGCACCTCAAAAAACTCCCTTGTATTATCCCTTCGTAGACTCGCCTCCATCCACCCCAAACCCCTGACAACCACTGAACTCTTCTCCATCAATATAGTTTTGTCTTTTTGAGAATATTACATAAATGGAATCATGCTGTATGTGTTCTTTGAGACTGGCTTCTTTACCTACCATAATGGCTAGGAAATTCATCCAAATTGTGTGTTTGCTTCCTTTTTTGCTGAGTAGTATTCCACTGCATGGATGTATTAGTTTCTTTATGCATTCATGTATTAAATGGTATTTGGGTTGCTGTCAGTATTTGACGATTATAGATAGAGATTTATAGACATTTTTGTACAGTTATTTGTGGGAATATAAATTTACATTTCTTTAGGATAAATATCTAGGCGTAGTGTTGCAAGATAACATGGTAAATATATGTGTAACTTTATAAGAAAGTGCTTAATTGTTTTCCACTGTGGTTGTGCTATTTTGCATTTCTGTCTGCAGATTATGAGAGCTCCAGGTGCTCCATCTCCTCGTCAGCACTTGGAATTGCCAATATTTTAAAAATTTGAACCATTCAAACACATGTATGGTGGTTTCTCCTCATAGTTTTAACTTGTACATACCTAATAGCTAATGATGTTGAAACATTTGCATTTAATGTAATTATTGATATGTCTTGTATTATGGCTTAAGTATGCCATTTTATTTTTGTTTTCTGTTTGTTCTCTCATTTCTCATTTCTTTGTTTTCCTTTTCCTGCCTTCCTTTGGGTTACTTGAGCGTGATTATTTATATATCTTCTTTGGCAAAGTAACTATCCAATTCTTTTGCACATTTTAAAAATTGGTTTATTTTTCTTCTCGTTATTGAGTTGTAAGAATTTTTTACATATTTTAGATATAAGTTCCTTATCCAATATAGAATTTTGCAAATATTTTCTCCAAGTCTGTGGCTTGACTTTTTATTTTGTGGATGGTAGTTTTGAAAAGCAAGGTTTTAAATTTTGAAAACACTAAATTTTCATTTAGGGATTGTGCTTTTGGTGTCATAGCTTAAAAATCTCTGCATAACACAAGGTCACAAAGATATTCTCCTATATTTACCTCTAAAGATTTTATAGCTGTAGCTCTTGCATTTAGGTCTATGATTCAAATGAATTAATTTTTGTGTACGGTGTAAGGTAAGTGTATAAATTCTTATTTTGCATATGGATATAAAGATTTCCCAGCATCATTTGTTGAAAATATAGTTGATTTGACTTGGCATCTTTATTGAAAATAAATTGACTACTGAGTCGTAGGAGTTCCTTATGTATTTCAGAGATTAACCTGTTATATGGTACATAGTTTGAAAATATTTTCTGCCATTCTATAGGTTGCCTTTCACTCTGTTGAATGAATGGTAGTATTGTTCCCCAGATACACAATACAGGAGGATTTTTCTAAGAAAAGAATGAGTTTGTTATGGAGGAGGTGCAATTTGAGGTATTTGTAGGAGTTCCAACTGTAGACTCCCAGAAGATCATTGAAACTGTGGATCTAGACTTTAGCTGAGCCATTTCAGAATCAAAGTTTGAGAAGCATTACATAAATATTACATAAAACAAATATAACTGATT